ATGAACCTGTCTTTATCTCACCCCGCGAGTTTTTCTCTCTCTTCCCCTCCCGATTCTCCCCCCGCCCCACCGGCGGGGGGAGTGAGTGAGCACCTGCGTGGTATTTGGCTGCCTGCCAGGTTAAACCACGACAATCACCCAGTGCCAACAATACACTTTTTCTCCAGCACTTTCATTTCATCATCTCAGGAGACTTCAGCACTCTGTGCTACAAAAGCGAACTCTAAAGAAACTGAAAGCTGCACTCTGAGATTCCCTCTACAGGCTGCGTTCCCACATTAGCGGCCACAGCCAGTCCTCTTCGGGGAAACAGACTTTGCACACGCTATATACAACAGCCAGAATAACTTCACTGTGGTCAGTTCAGGCCCTGTCCATCCCTTCAAACAACTGATCCCCTCCAAAACTGTAAAAAAGAAATCAGACTGACCAGCCAGCCTGCCCTGCTAGGGAAGTTACTTCTTGCACAAGGATTAAGTGGCACTGCTGGTTAAGCCTGGTAACACACAAAGAGAACGGGCGCTTCTGAACAACTCTGCTTCGTGCCTCAAAGAGGTAAGTACACCCAAGTAGGAGAGCCTCCAGTCACTAGGAAAAAAAGCGAGCTGACAACAGTAAGTAACAATATGTGAACAGAGAAAAGGTTTTACGTAAGTGCTACAATAGCTTCATAATGATCATGAATATTAAACTTTTAAATAGGTAGGTATGTAATACACATTTTATAAATTAAAAAAAGTTTCATTTGACAAACTCAAACTTGTAGTAGAGATGTTTGATCTATACAGTGATGTCTTGAGATTTCTGTAGAGACAAAAACCACCCAACTGGTATTTCAGAGCCATCACAACAGGGACAGAAGCACTGTCACATCAGTTGTGTTTGACAACAACAACAATCAGCACCACCAGAATTCCTCGTAAAGAAGCACAAAGCTGTAACTTCAGATTCACCCAATCTGTTACCACATGTTGCTTCCTAATACCAACTGGAGGTTTTGAAATAAGAGTTATTGATGATAAATGTAAAAGTCAAGATTTTCCAACTCCAGTCATGTATCTCTTAAGATTTGACATGTTACCTCTCCTATAACAAAAATGCTTTAAAAGCTAGCATACAGAGAGAAAGATGAACTACTACCTTGAAGATTAGAATGATTACTTTCAAAACTAACTACGACTTCTCCTACAGATCTGCACATCAGAAGTACATCAGGTAACCTGTAGCACTGAATTCATTTTCACCTTATGGAGGGCACTATTAGCACTAAAAACATTGCAGAAAGTTCACCTTCAGAAAACTAAAAGATAGCTAGTGGAAGGTACAAGTGCATTATTAGCAATTACTGAGAAAGAAGTAACACCCAGTAACACCCAGCTATATCAAACCTAAGTTCTGACCTGTTACACTTGTGAGTACAAAGTTCACAAATTTCCCCATTGTAAGAGTGTTAAATTTAAACTGAAATGTACTTTATGATGACTGGGCTGACTAAATGGCAGAACCATTAAACATGGAATTCTCACAGCAGTTGTATCTTCTGAGATTCTACCGGTACACTTCTACTTAAAGTTACCTAAAAAACCCCACACTGATTACTATTTTGGTGGTGTTAACAAGCAGTTACAAAGCTACCCTCACACATGCAGCAAAGCTTTTTTAAGACTTGCCTTATAACATCTGTCTGAAACCAAGGCCAGAATTAAGTATTTGCAGGGTAAATTCTTAGTGCAATAAAACTGTGCTAGAGGTTAAGAGTCTTCTTCCCTCCTTCCACCATGAAGGGCAATACTCATACTTGCTGCAGTCGCAAGGGTCCTTCCCTTTATCTGCAGCACACACACTCTGAGAATCTGCTAACCTGCAAACTTTACCTCACTGAGCACAACTGAGTTAACTTCCTGAGTTAACAACCCCCTAAGGTCTCTTACTCGAAAAGTTAACAGATATCCCGTTACATCAAGCTGCAGGGGAAAAAAAAAGAAATTATTCCTGGTTTACCTGGTATTCCTTTGTGAAGTTTATGATTATGCTCTTTTTCAACACCTTGTATTAGAAACAAAAACTTTCTTGATTAAAAAATAAATTCCACTGCATTCACAGTAATTTCTGTAGTTTTAAATCCCAGCTTTTCATTACTCCATAAAAACTTCGTTAGATTTGTGCAACAGTGTATGCCCACATAAAAATAAGTCTTAAAACACTATTACCATCTTTCTTTTGGAAAGTTCTTTACAATTTCACTAATGATTGGCTGGTAGCAGGAATCTCTCTCAGGCTTTCCCTCTTCACTCCAGTCTCTCACAAATTGTTTCAAAGTGGATTTTAATTTATCCATGTCAAATGTCGAAGCTGGTGTAATCTTCCCTCCTCCCTGATTAAAGTGGGGGGAAAAAAAGAAGTTAGTGGAAAATGTACCAAGTATCTTTAGTCTTGGGGGGGGTGGGGGAGGAAGGTAAATGATAAACAGACAAAAGCCATGCTATAAGGGCTGTTTTGTGGACAAAGCACTCGTCTTTCACTCCTGCGACCAGGGCTCAAATCCAACCTAGAATCCTAAACAAATTGAGTTTGCTGGTCTCAGTTCGGCACCCAAGAGACCAGGTGCCACATCACAAAACCATACATTGTACGGCGTAGCAGAGCACAACTGGTAGTCCTTAATCAGGAAAGGACCAGGGCTGAGCTAGTGCAGAGGCTGAACTGCTTACCCTGAGAAGAGGATCCCTTTAGGTACTGATGAGGCAACACCGGGAAGCTCACATTAGAGCTGCCCACTACTGTACCTTGCCTGCAGATACCAAAAAAGGACTCCAGTTTCCATCTCTGCCAGTCTTTTAAGTCTGAGTGCAATTTTTTTTGATAGAGATGTCACACTGAAAAAGCAGGTAAGTAGTGAAAAAGTTTTTACAGATTATAACATTAAAAATACTTCGCCCATCTAAAATTGTAACTAGTTTAGAATGCCGTAACATATAATAACTTACAGAAAGACAGACAATACCATTTATGCTCTACACAGTTAACTGAAAAAATAACTTCAAAATGTAACCAGGGTAGAGCTAGAACTGTGGAGTGAAAAACTGCTTTTTTACAATGTAAAAAATCACTTTTTTAAGTGATTACTGTCATTTGCCAGATTCACAATTAGTTTTCATAAGTGTAACTACAAGGATTAACAACAAATAGTTTTATAAAACATCAGCTCTACAAGATGCAAAAGCCAAGAGTGAGAACATGTAAGCAAACAGGAAGTAAGGAAGGAGAAAATAAAGAAGTCAAAAGGAAAGAAAGTTGGAGGCCTATAGGTGTGAAAAACAAATGTAGAAAATCCCAAAGCGTACAGAATTTAATTTTGAAGTATGAAAAAGTCCATTTTAACATACGTCTTCTCCATATTCTTTATTTTCAAACATATGAACGCAGTCATTCACAATGGTCTGTAGTATCTCTTGATTATGATCAATGCACTTCCGAATCTTGTCAAGGTGAGGAAGGAATTGAGGAAGAAGACTCTGTTGATTAGCTGGAAGAGATTTAAACTGCCTCTCTGTTCTGTTCACTCGTTCATGCATATTCGTTCTAAAAAGCAAAAAGTTTAAGGTCTTTAGATATTTAGAAGCAATACATGCACTAAATATAAGTAATTCACTCTAAGCTACTCCAATGACAATTATTCATTTTTCTAGACACAGAAAGTGATCGTGATCAGACTTTGTAATTCCTTACTAGAGAACAAGTTTTCAAGATTTTTTTTAGGCAAAATGTTTGTTTTAAGTTCTAGTTCTACATTGCTACTCTTTGTAACATGTTGCAGTTTAAGAGGACCATTGTTTTCTTCTTGCAGTTTCATCACCACCCACTCATTTCCAGAACAGGTGATCAGTACCTCAATACATGGATCTACAAAATTTAATGAACGACCAGCCCCCAAACCATCAAAACCAGCCAGACTGTTTCACAAATCCAATTTAAATTGAATGAATAGCTGAATGCTGTGATAAACTTCAGCTACAGAAATAACGAGATGTGGAGTGGGAATAGGGGTCCTCAAAATCAATTGTTTCTGAAAGAACCGTAAACATCACAGCTGGACCATACCAAAGTTCTGGCAGCCACACTAAGATACTAAAATACCTTCTTTTAACAGCATATTCCCCCCAAGTATGAGTACTGTGAATTTGATCATGTAACTGATCCAAGCTAAAAATAACTCTTCCATTTCCCCAAAATAAAAGTTCCATAAAAAAATCTACTGCCAAGAGGTCTGCTTTTTTCTTTCCTCTCCCTTCTCTTCACCCAAAACAGTTCTGCCCTCCACCTTGTTCTAGCACTCACCAGGCCTGCCACAAAGCTCGTTTAACTTGCTAACCCTGAAGAGACCTGCATAGATTTTGCTAGATTTGATTTCTGTCAGTTCAGCAAGTCAAGTTGGCTGAGCACAGTCATAAGGACCCTAGAAAGAGAGATTATAAAGCCAGGACAAGGGATACTGCCCCTTTTGGCAGTAGCAAATCATTTTATCAGGTCAAGTCATACTGCAGTTTCTCAAACTCTTGTGTCAGCATACAGCAACACAGAGCTGAAAACCAGTCATCAGACAGAGTAAGGTGCAATTGCTGCAATTTTAGTTACAACCCCAGTTTGGAAATTTGACCACTTAGTACCTCCAACATTCCATATCTGCTGCTGAGAAGGGCGTGTTCACTGCAACAGGGACACTGGTTTAAAATTAGGTTTAAGAACACAAAACAGAGAAGGAACAACAAGAAAAACAAACATCCTCAATATAAAGCACATCAACTTAGCTTAATATCATCTTCTTGAAAGTTTTATCAGAAAAATTCTTTGAACCATAATCCTCCACCCTTTCATGTTGAGTTGCAACCTTCTAGCAGAATGAATAATTCACTGAAATCAGAAGAACTACGCACAAAGAATGAAGTTAAGTCCGTATGTCTCCAGGAGACAAAAACTTTAATGGGAACTCATCTGAAAGTGTGTTATTGCCTCACTCATACAGACATTTCCAATTAAATTATTTTTAACTACCAAGATATGCAATTTGACTTAAATTCGGAGCTGTTTCTTTGAGACAGAGGTAATTTAATTCAATTTCTGTACTGGAAATTTGAGTCATATCCTTTTGTTATGTGTTTACCGAGACTGAAGTATTCCAAAGCAACCCAGAGTCACATTTGAGCATGAGGTTGAGAAAGATGTTCCCAGCTTCTAAGGCCTGAGGATACAATTACATACTGATATAAGTAAATTACAGTTGTCTGTTGTGCTAATAGTAATAACTAACATGAAGACTTTGGTATGGCCAAACTGAATTGGAGAATTCAGATTGAAAGAGTTATCGAAGTGTCATCTAGACCAACCTCCCGCTCAAATACTAGTCCTGGAAAACAAAACAACCCAAGATATAAAAATAGCAAACAGAAGAAATACTCTAAATATCACCCACTCCTTCCACGAACCTCACTGTCATGTAAAAATTATACTTATATTGCACTGACAAAAAGGGCCTATCACATAATAAGAATCACATGGTGGGGGTTTGTCCACTGAAGTATACAAGTATGTAGTGTAGCTACATCCCAGATCTGCTTACCAAACCTAGCGTAATAGGAGACAGTTAACCAAAACACTGCAGAAGACTGGACTTTTTCAGCTAGTCCCCCCACCCTACTATTTGAGTAACTTTTGTTTCTTCTTCCATTCAACGGATTCAGCTATAAAGTCGGTTCCCCCCAACCCTTTGTCTCATTCCCATGGGAGCATCAAGCCCTTTTCTGGTCAGACAAATGTCTGGAAAACTAAAGTTGTAACAAAATGGCATCCATTAGCCCTATCAACAGGTCTTATTTCTCGTGCAAATTAACGCATCTTTCAAGAATTTCCCCAATAATCGAAACACCGTTTGCATTTCTTTGCCAGCAGGAGCTACTATTGTTTTGAGTACTTTATAGCGTCTTAAAGCATTTTATCTTATAAAAAGAGACCTTTTACATCCTTTTCACGTGTGCCATACTTTGAGATTTTTTTGGTTTTTTTTTTTTTTTTTTTTTTATGCTTCCTAGCTGACAAAGACATGGAGGTGTTCTTTCCTGACTCGGGCTTCTGCACCCCGCTAGAGGCACGGCGCCCCCCACCGAGGACAGACCGAGGGAGGCGGCCACACCACACGCA